CCACAACTGGACCCAAAAAAACCCCAAAACAAACAAACAAACAAACAAACAAAACAAATCCATAGTATGTCATGATCTGGAATGTTCTACTATCCAAGGAACTCCAGGTATCCTTCTGCAGTCCACCCCACCCCACTCCTCAGAGCTAACTGCTGGAAATGGGTTTTAGATTGTCACCTGGGTGGAATCACAGAATATAGTCTCTTGCCTGGCTTTTCTACTCAGTGTCTCTGGAACTCATTCATAAATATGAATCGCCTCCACTTTGAATCTAGGTATTAATTCCTGTTATATCTAGTGAGAATGCACGTTTTTCTTTCCTTCTTTGTTTTTTTTTCTCCAGTTGCTTTCTTTCTTATAAGCTGATCCAGGGGCTTGAACTTAGGGCCCAGGCACTATCCCTGAGTTTTTATGCTCAAGGCCAGTTCTCTAGTACTTGAGTCACAGCATTACTTCTGGTTTTCTAGTGGTTAATTGGAGATAAGCGTCTCACAGACTTTCCTGCCCAGGCTAGCTTTGAACCATGATTCTCAGATTTCAGCCTTCTGAGTGGCTAGGATTACAGGTGTGAGCCACTAGTGCTTGGCTGTATTATATGATTAAAAAACCCCACCAACATCAGAAATAAACAAGCCATATAACACCACAGATGGTTCAGACATCAAAAGAAGAAAAAAGGAATACTTCCAATAGCTTTCCATACAAAATTTGATTTCATGGATGATATGGGCCAATTTCCCCCATATTGCAAACCCAGACATTTTTGCTAGAGAATTCTACTGAAAACTGAAATTAAACTAACAGCATTTCTTGTACCAATTAATACAGGCTGTAGAAAATAAAAGAGAAGACACTTCTAATTTACTAGATAAGTACAGTCCTGATAACAAAAATCATATAAAGATGGTTAAAAATAGGAAAACCAGAAATCAATATTTTTGATGAACATATATACAAAAATCTTTAACAAAATATTAGCAAATACAATATGGCAATATATAAAAAGAACTGGAAGTATGACCAAGTTTCAGAAATATGAGATTGTATTAATATCTGAAAATGATTCAATGAAGTCCATATTATTAGTAGACTAAAGAAAATTTTTATGATCATATTAATTGATAAAAAAAAGCATTAATAAAATGTAATATCAATGTAGTTGATATTTAAAAAATTTTTAAAATAGTATTTAATCATTAAATGTCATTCTGACATTTACTTTGAGATAGTTAAAATATAGTTACAGATCTCAACATCAAGCCTGAAACTCTGAAACTACTGCAGGACAGAATAGGAGAGACACTTGAACTTATAGGTATAGGCAAGAACTTCCTGAACAGAGTCCCAGGGTCACAACAAATTGGAGAGAGACTCAACAAATGGGGGACTACCTTAAAATAAAAGTTTCTGCACAGCTAAAGACATAGCTACCAAACTAGAAAGACAGCCAACTAACTGGGAAAAAATATTTACCAGCAATATATAAGACAAGAGCCTAATATCAATTATATATAGGGAACTCAAGAAACTAATCCCTCCCAAATCTAACAAACCAATCATTAAATGGGCAAGGGAGCTAAAGAAAGACTTCTCAGAAGAAGAGATAAAAATGCCAAAGAATGGGCTAGGAAAGTGGCTCAGTGGTAGTGTGCTTGTCTTGCATACATGAGGCCCTGGGTTCGATTCCTCAGCACCACGTAAGCAGAAAAACCAGGAAGTGGCGCTGTGGCTCAAGTGGTACAGTGCTAGCCTTGAGCTGAAGAGCTGAGGGACAGTGCCCAGTTTGCCATCCCTGGTTGTAAAGGAAATGCAAATAAAGACAACCCTGAGATCCTACTTTACCCAGTCAGAATGGCCCACATCCTAAATTCAGCCAACAATAAATGCTAGTGGGATGCAGAAAAAGAAGAACACTATTGTATTGCTGGTGGGAATGTACACTAATACAACCACTTTGGAAAGCAGTCTGGAGGTACCTGAGAAAGCTCTGTCTGCTATATACTTAACAGAACATCTGAAAACACTTGGAGGATATTCACAGGAGCAAATAGGTAAGATAAAGATTAGATAATCTGTTCACTGTTTTATTAGCTATCAAGTTTTACACAAAAAAGATCAAATGGACTGGTGTTTGTCCTCAGAGACAGGATGACCCATTGCACATGCCCAAATGTATAAATCCATGCACATTTCCCATGCCTACCTTCGAAGAGGGAATAAGGTCTGTCAGGAATACGGCACCCATGTGCTCCATAATCAAGACACCATTCTGCAAACTAAGAAGAAAAACATTTCTTTTTAATAATAGAGTTTCCAGTTGGATAAAAGGCAATGAAATGAGACACTGCAATGCTTATACAAGAAACAAAAGTGGCAAGTTCCAGCTATAGTGTTTCCAGGGAGGGTTGAGGCCTGGTGAGTGAGTTAGCTACTTCTCCCTAACTGAGTCCTCATCTGTAGGTGGTATCTGCCTCAAAACATTGTAGAGAGACTGAGATACATAACTTTGACAACTCAACGGTTTGTCCCTTTTTTGGATGCCTACCTCTAAAACTTGCTCTTTCTGAATAAAAAGTTCTGGCTCTGAAACTACTTATAGACTTGACTGCTGGCTCCCTCTGGACCTCTTCTCTGATGTAACTGAGAGACTCAGAGCTTTCCCCCTGGCATGGGCCATCATTAGTTGCACTCCTGGGAAACATAATCTTAAACCTGGCTCTCTTCTCTTTTCTCAGCTGCCATATGCACTGTCACCTGACCACCTTTCACCTTGAAAATGCTTCAGCTCAGAACTTTTCTTTGAGTTCCTTTGCTCCTATTTCTTTAATCTTCCTTCTTCCATCTCTTTCCTTCTATCACTTCTCTTTTTTTCTATAATCACCTTTTCCTTCTTGTTAAGCTAACATCCTTCTACATTCTTGATGAAAGAAATAACAGTAACAGTTTAGAATGGAATGTGACCCACTTCATTCTTCAGAGAGGGAGGATAAGTATAGCTATAGTGCAATGGCTAGAAAGCAGTATAAGAAGTGATGAGGATGAAGAAGCAGACAGGACATGCAGGGGTCTAACTTTAGTTAAAGTTAGGGAGGGGATGGATTTTAAGCAGAGACAATTGCATATTATCTATACATTATCTCAGTTAATTCTTGGAACATTCTTAGAAGGCAGGTAGTAATATTTTCCATTTTACAAGAAAGGAAACTGAGGCTAGATGTACCTATAGCCATAAAGCTAATAGACAGTACAGGTAATTCTTTCTTTATTATCTTTAAGCAGTTATACAAAGTGTTTCAATTCAACATGTCAGCTTATGAGTACATGCAACAGATGTTATTTCTAACCAAACAGTGCAACTCCAAAACTTGTATCTTTCAGAGGCCATTTATATTTGTTATCCTCATTTTACAGACAAGGACACGATGGTAGAGAGAAAGCCAGGGCCCAGGCTGTGAGAGAAGACACTACAGATTAAGAGAAGCAAATGTATGCTGGGTGCCATGGCTCATACCTATAATCCTAGCTACTCAAGGAAGCTGAGATATGAGGATCACTTTTCAGCCTGGGCAGAAAGGTCTGTAAGACTCTATTTCCAAATAACCACCTAAAAGCTGGAAGTGGGGAAGTGGAGTTGTGGCTCAGGTGGTAGAGTACTAACCTTGAGCCAGAAAAAAAAAAGTCAGCGACAGCCCTAGGCCCTGAGTTCAAGCCTCAGAAAAAGCGCGCACATGCACACACACACACACACACACACACACACACACACACACACACGCACGCGCGCGCGCGCAAGCTGAAGAGAAGTTACATTGTTGGATTCTGTTCTTGGCATTTTAGGTGTCTTCTTACCTTGCAAGCTCGATAGAGGTACTTTTTATCCTGTGTGAGATGGTAAAGGGAGAGAAAGGAGTACCCATTTCCAGCAGTCCCATGGCAGATCCCATAGCCTTTCCGGAGCAGACCTCGCTGCCAAATCACATCACTACACTCCACAGCGTCTTTCAAGTATTTTTCATCCTTAAACACCTGGGAATAAAAACCAAAGAAATGTTAGCAAGATGTTATCAATGAATAGACAGCAAAGTACTTTCCCTTTTTGATCAGAAAATTATCCAGGGCTGGGAAGGTGGCTCAGTGTAGAGCTCTTGCCTTGCATGCATGAGGCCTTGGGTTCAATAACTCAGCACCACATAAGCAGAAAAAAAAAGCCAGAAGTGGTGCTGTGGCTCAAGTGGTAGAGTACTAGCCTTGAGCTCAAGAGCTGAGGGACAGCGCCCAGGCCTAGAGTTCAGGCCCCACGACTGAACACCCCCCCCCAAAATTAGAAAATTATACAACATTAGGGCATCTCCTCATGAAAGCAGAGGCTTTTAGATTCATAGAAAACACGTATCCTTTGAAAAAAAAAGAAATCTGAAATGTCATTGGGGGAAAAATACAAACAACCAAATACCTACTAGCTATACAGTATGATCTCAATCTCTTAGCTTATTTCCCATCCTCCTATTTTATAATTTTACAGAAACAATTCTAAAAATGAGCTTTAATTAAAACATTAGTATCAAAATTACCTCATTTCCTTGATAAGGTATTATCACAAATAAATAATCCTTATTTCTTGAGATATACCTTCTATAGTTGTAAACTTTTTATTCTTTAAGGAGACAATCAAGAAATCAATGATTCTAAGAAATCTTGTTGCAGAGGAAAGAATACCCACCATTGTGGGTCTGGGCACATTATCAACAATACCCAGAAGACCCTGCACCACTAGGGTCATTGAGGTCTGTCATCATCATCTATCACAAGAAAACCTGTGCAAAGCTCTCTACTGGCCCAGCACTGAGACTTCTGAGTTGTTCATATGGATAGCTGCGGAGACAAAAAGTGCAAATGGCTGGCAAGAGTGGCTGTGTGTTTTCACCTTCCCAGGTTTCCTTCAAAATTTTCTTCTTTCCCCTCTCACACCCTAGTCCTTTTCAGAGAATCTGTTATTAGTAATCTCTATCTGCTTAACTCATGTCATTCTAATGTAAATGAATTTGTGCAATGAATTAGAAGAATGAGGTTATTAGAAATGATCTACTTGGGTAGTAAATAGGATACATCTACCTGTGACTGATCAGAAGTGACATCTTGAGCACTGAGCTAAGAAAGGTTCTGAGGTTCAGAAGAAAAAAAAAAGGACAAGGACTATTTAATCAGTGTCTGCAGGGATAGAAGGGGAAAAGGCAATTATCAGGGAGATTGTCCCCAAGGCCAGGTCCTGAGGTGAGAAGCAAGACCTCTTTGCTTTGTCATGAAAGCAACTGAGATGAGCTCTGAGATCAAACTGAGTCTGAATCTCAGTTCTTTGACCTTTTAACTGAGTGAACTTTGACAACTTGTTTATCTCTGTGCTTTAGTTTTCTCAAGAATAAAAGGATACCTTTTTTTTCAGCCCAGTAGCTCAGTGTGAGGATTAAAATGAGATAAAGTTCAAGAAGTTCTTAGAACAATATGCTTCATTGTAGTGAGTGCTAACTACTTCCTAGCTATAATGAGCTGTATTCTATATGTTGCCATGTCAACCTGAATGCTTCATCCTGTATCCTGAAGGCTTCATCTTAAGCCCATTAAAACTAATTTTAAAGGGAAATATTTTTACTCATCCTAAAGAAATACTTTGTCAAAGCTAACAGGTTTGAAAAGATACTGTCTTAGGAAGTGTGTCCTGAAATAATATAATGCATAATGACAGTCTTAGAGTACATGAATCCTATTGGCTCCTTTTCAGTCACCAAAGTAAATAAGCGTAAAAAGAGAAAGCTACTAGGTCTCTTTGTTGGTCCTACTTCCTTGCTAAGACTGAGGTGGTTTGCTCAATAACATGAGGTAAACCTGTGACCCATCCCTACCTCCATTTTATGATATGCTTACAAAAAACTACTTCAATATTCAGACATTTAAGCATTTAAGGACGACAGAAAAAAGTTCTCAGATTTAACCTGAACTAAATATCATTAAAAAGCTAAACCTATCAATGCTGGGTATAGAAGAAAAAGCAGACACAAATTAAAGGTATAGAAAACATAAGAGCAGAAAAAATTCCCAAGTCTCAAGAAAGAGATAAGTTACCAGGAGCTTTTAGGACTGTGTATAGACAAGAATACAAACAAAAAGGAGAAGAATGAAGCTGAAGCATTTTTTATTTAACATTAGGCATACACAACAAAAAAAATTAAAAAATTGAATGCTGGAAGACAGAACTGTCATGTCACCTAGACAGAGGCTAACCCATCAGAATAATATCTCATTTTTCCACCCAAACTTTAAAGGCAAAGATATATTGCAATTTTGAAAGAAAATAACAGTCAAGCTAGATAAATATCCAGCATATCTATCATTCCTAATTGAAGGATAAACAAAAACCTTTTCTGATAAACAAAAGAAATTCATGACCACTATGGCACTGTATAAGATACTTAAACAAATCCTGAATGCAGTAGTACCCATATGCACACTGAATAAAGCAGACTTTAAACCAAAGTTAGTCTGAAGAGACAAAGCAGATCATTTCACATTAATAAAGTGATCAATAAATCAAGAGGATATAACAATTATATATATATATATATATTAAATGTTAGCACAAACTAGTGGACATAAAAGCACAGATAGGTCTCACAAAATAGCAGTGGGTAACTTTAATACTCCAATCTCACCAATAAATATGTCCAGATAAAAAAGAAATAGAGGGGCTGGAAAGGTGGCTCCATGGTAGAGTGCTTGCCTTGCATTCATGAGGCCCTGGGTTTGATTCCTCAGCACCACATAAGCAATAAAAGCTGGAAGTGGCACTGTGGCTGAAGAACTGAGGGACAGCACCCAGGCCCAGACCAAAAAGAAAAAAAAGATTGCAAAAGAGAAATAGATAAGAAAAGTTCTGAGGAATTAGCCTAAATTATCTACAACTTCTTTCAATATTATCATGATGGGAAAATAATTATTTCCGGTAGTTTTCTTTTTATTTTCACACACAAGTATGAATTCTACTCCATTATTTCCTTTTTTTCTCCCAAAACAAAGAGAACTTGCTAAAAATACATTGTTGATAAGAAAAATTATTGTGGTTTCAGTTTTGATATATGAACAACACACATATAAATTAACTAATACAAATAAAGATAAATTAAATGAAAATTAAAATTGTAAAAGGAACATTGCTTTCAATTTACATGACAAATCTTGGTCTAGTACACAAGTGAGTAGCATTATTCATATTGTGCAAAAATATACCTATAATCTACTAGAATTAATCATCAAGGATACCATGGATGTACAAATATTTGCATCAACATTATCTCTTAGAAATAATTTTGTAAAAATTTAATAAGCATTTTATAAATAATTTTCCAAGTTCTTGAATAACTGTAATATAGCAATGAAAGCTGCTTATAATAGTCATATAAAATGGCAAAAGAAACAAAAATTTGTTATAATACTGCCTTACTGTATTATTGGGTACTCATCAGAATGAAAAAGCATCCCTATCCTGTCTTGTGTGTTATCTTCTACACATGTACATAAACCCTGTTAAAGTTTACACACACATTTGCTGCACTAAACGTGGTAATGATGAACAGAGTTTGACCATTTATTTTATATAACAGAGACTAATCTTTTGTCATAGAAGCATTAATTCTAAAATCTTCTGTATGTAATCAAATGGGCTTGCCAGAATCAAACTGAAGGTTAGAAGGAGCAACTTATAATACTATCTGGACACTTATAACCCTATCTGAAGTACTGACCTTATATGCCTGCATGAGCATGTGGATGACACCGGAGGCACCATGGCACCAATGAACCAACCTATCTGTTTCATTACTTAATGATGATGGATAATTCCCAGATCGAAATTTTTTGTGGCGCACATAATCAATACTAGGTTTCACCATTTCTGTCAAGGTTTCTTGGTCTACATTTGCTGCTGGCTGGAAAGACAGAAAAATTTAACAATTTATTTTTATTGATTTTTTTTTTGGTTGGTCATGGGGCTTGAACTCTGGGCCTAGGCACTGTCCCTGAACTCTGAGCTCAAGGCTAGTGCTCTACCACTTGAGCCACAGCACCACTTCCGGATTTTTTGCTTATGTGGTGCTGAGGAGTTGAACCCAGGGTCTCATGCATGTAAGGCAATCACTTTACCACTGAGCCACCTTCCCAGCTCTATGCAGTACTAACCACACAGGCCACAGCTGTAATAAGGTCTATTTAACTATGTAGACCTTTTGACTTGGGCCCCAATTCTTCCTCTATTTAAACCTAATGCCCATGTCTGTACCTTCAAGATGGCTGAAGATGAACTAAAGTACCATTTTCTTGTGGCATCCTTATGCCATATAATAAATCTCCTTTCTCTGTCCTTCATTGTGTCTCTCTATTTGGTATGTAGTAGTGAATGTCCAAACTGGATACATTCCTTTCCTATCACTTTCTACTATATGTCATCTCTTGCTGGAATTCTCTCTCCAGACACAAGAATTAAGGAAGAGAGCTGCACTGACTCTACAGCAACATTCCTTATCCAGAAGGTAGCTCTAGACCATAAGGTTAAAAGCATAGATTGAAGTCATAATTGGGGCAGGTTTGTGTCTGTCTCATAATGTCAGCTCATAATTTATCAGGAGCAGGGATGACTGAAGGATAAGATCAAAACCACAGCAATAATATCTTTAAAAATTTCAAACAGAGCTGACAGCAAACTGGGGGGCTTTAAGACAAAGTTTCTTCCTCAAAATCAAGAGCCCTTTACACTCCCAATAAAGTTTTTTCCCCCCAATAAAAGCGTTCCTACTTCAATCAATCACAAGATAGAAAAAGAATAGAAAACAAGTAATCTGGCTCAAAACTACATAGAGCTGGGCACCAGTGGCTCATGCCTGTAATCCTAGCTACTCAGGAGGCTGAGATTTGAGGATTACGGTTCAAAGCCAGTCCTGGCAAGAAAGTCCTGAGACTTTTTTTTCTTTCCAAAGGAGTATTTATTTGTAAATAGTTGTTATTTTCTTTCTTAAAATAAATGTTTGAAGCTGTAGTCTTCAAGCCCCTCCATGCCTAGATCCATCCTGGGCTTATGCCTTTTTTTCTACACTTTCATTTTTTAATTTTTGTGTATTTTTTTTACTATGTTGAAAATGAACTTACAACTTTGGGGGGCGTGGAGGAGTTGGGGAGGTGGGGCAGGAAGGGATAGTAGGTAGCAATAATGCTTGATAGGAAATGTACTCATTACCTTACTCATTTAACTAACTCTTGAATCTCTTATCTCCAATAAACCACCAGAAAGTGGCGCTGTGGCTCAAGTGGTAGAGCGCTAGCCTTAGAGCTGAAGAGCTGAGGGACAGTGCCCAGGCCCAGAGTTCAAGCCCCACAACCGACAAACAAACAAACAAAAACTATATAGAGCATGTACTCTTAGGAATTCACTTTAATCTATAAAGCAGAGTTTAAGCATCTTTGAGTCAAAGATTCAACTCAGTGTTTGTACTACAAATTAAAATCCCCATTTATATATGAACTCATATATTGAAATGTGGTCACTGAATTAGTATTTCAGAGGACTATTATTTACCTGCATTAACATATAGTAGATTCCAGCCATGCCATGGGCTGCTCCAACATACTGCTTTCTATGCCACTGATACAAGAGGGGGCAGCGCTCAGCTTTTCTTTCATCCCTTGACAAAGTCTTACCTGATTCAATAATAGCACTGACTACCTGCAGAAACAATGAGATTAACACAAATTTAAAAATCTTAAAATCTTACATGCATTTTAGTTCTGGTCTAATTAATAACAATATGTATAGCAGAGAAATTGTTTTTGCTGAAAAGTACTGATGCCTTACTTGAGCCTATGAATTAACTAAAAATAGAAGGAAAGCTTGGCATCTTTGCCTCCATCAGGGAGGGAAGGAAGGAAAAGGGGTGCGTGCGTGCATGTGCATGCGTGCATGTGCACACACACACACGTGTGTGTGTGTGTGTGTGTGTGTGTGTGGCAAGAGAGCAAAAGAGAGTGAGAGAGATAATCTTTTTTTTTTTTGGTCAGCTATGGGGCTTGAACACAGGGCCTGGGTGCTGTCCTTGAGCTTTTATTTTGCTCAGGGCTAGCACTCCACTTCTTTGAGCCACAGTGCCACTTCTGGTTTTCTGGTGGTTAACTGGAGATAAGAATCTCATGGAGGGCTGGGAAGGTGGCTCAGTGGTAGAGCGCTTGCCTTGCATGCCTGAGGCCCTGGGTTCTATTCCTCAGCACCACATAAGCAAAAAAGAAAAAGCCGGAAGTGGCACTGTGGCTCAAGTGGTAGAGCGCTAGCCTTGAGCTGAAGAGCTAAGGGACAGCGCCCAGGCCCAGAGTTCAGGCTCCATGACCAGACCCCCTTATCCTCCCCTCCCCCAAAAAAAGGATCTTATGGACTTTCCTGTCTGGGCTGGCTTCAAACCCTGATTCTCAGATAGTCTCCTGAGTAGCTAGGATTACAGGTGTGAACCAGCAGTACCTGGCAGAGATTAAACATTTTAAAGTAGTAGTTAACAATGCTATTTTTATTTTAGAAATTAATAAATTTAGAGAGAGAAGAATCAGAAGACAATGCCTAAGTAGAAAATGACAATAAGAAGCCTAACCAAGGAATCAAAAATTATTTGCTTAATAAGTTTTCTAAAAAAAAAAATACCTAAACATTCCAGGTGCTAGTGGCTCAGGCCTATAATTCCAGCAGCTCAGAAGGCTGAGATCTGAAGATCACAGCTTAAAGACAATATTGGCAAGAAATCCCATGAGACTCTTACCTCCAATTAACCACCAAAAAAGTTGTAAGTGGTAGCGACTAGTCTTGAGAAAGAAAGCTCAGGGACAATGTCCAGGCCCTGAGTTCAAGTCCTAAGACTAGCATACACACACACACACACACACACACAGAGGCACACAGGCACACAGGCACACACACACACACACACACACACACAGGCACACACACATGCTAATGAAAACAAAAAAGAGCTGGGGTTGTAGCTCAAGTGGCATAGTGCCTGCCTGGCAAGTACAAGGCTCTGAGTTCAAAACTCAGTCCCACCAAAAAGAAAAGAAAATTGTTCCAGACTTAATTGCTTTGTAGCTACATGGTTTTCCCAAAAAAACTGGCATCTCCTGGACAGAACTATATTTACAAGAAGCCAATGAATGAGGTCTGTTGGAGAAAACGGGTTTTAGTTAAATCCAAAGGAAATCATGTCTGGAATTACTAAATTTCCAGTTTTTTCATATCCATGCTCCTCTCATCTTTTTAGAAACCTACTCTAAGTTTTAGATGAGAATCTAGTTACCTGGCCAGGGACAGCTAAACATAGTCTTTTGACTACGTTCTGGCAATGAGATGTGAGCAGAAATAAAATGAGCAGCGTATAAACTTCCTGACAAAAGGAGCTGTTTCTCCTCCACTTTCTCATTCCCTTTTTTGCACACATTTGTTTATACTGTAGAAGGGCAGACCAAGACAGAAGATGGATATCTGGCTATATTTTTCAGAATATCTCATAAAACAGAATTAAATTTCTAGCTTTTTCAAAGAGCTACTATTTGGTTCCAGTAAAACCAGCTGAATCAATAAAGGATGAAATGGGAAGGGGAAACAAAGGAGGAAGCAACAATACTTGATAAGAAATGTACTCATTATCTTGCCCATGTAATTGTAACCCCTCTATATGGTAATTTCACAATTAAAAAAAGGATGAAGAAGAATATAGATTTAAAATATACACACATACACACATATATGTATATGTATATATATATTCCTAAGAAGATACAATTTTTTTACAATTTTAAAAGTAAATCATACATAGAAGCAGAGTCCAGAGACAAACATAGCTTTGGGTACCCACAGGTTCAGAAACACAATACCTCCTTAATAGCAGATTCACACACAGTTCCTGGGCCGATCTCTGTGTTCAGGTACAATAAGGCATATAGATAACCTGCCCGTCCATAAAGCAGTTCATCAGGAAGCTCTGACTCTTGGCAGATAACTGTTCTGTGAAGCTGCAAAAGTCTAACCAACAAGAAAAAATCAGTTTTCCTAGCAAATACCTAAAATACCTTTTGACCTGAAACAGTAATACTATCACTTTAGAAATTAACTCTTAGTCTTAAATTAAAACTAAGATTAAAACAAAATGCCTTAACATCCATAAAACAATGTTCTACAAAGTTCTACCTTTCACCAAATGCAAACTGACTGAAGTCAGTGCCAGATATAACCAGTGAGCCCTGCTTTCTGCTTCTTCAAGACAACAAACCAATCATGCAATTTAAGTTCCTTAGTTGTTCCCTCATTAGCATTACTACTCAGGTCAAGGTTGAGCCTGAGATTAGTTATTCTTATATTATTCTCAGAAGTCTATAGGCCTACAAAATTTACATGTATTGAGGGTGAACAAAATTTGCTAAGAAAAAATGGTTAAATCTCCTTAATTAAAGCCATGAGGCTCATGCCTGGGTCACACAGTCCATTAACATTCAAACCACTTCCTTCTCAGACAGATAAATTTGATTAGATTTTTTCCCTCTTTTTATTATTACTAAGTGGTTGTATAAAAAGGTTATAATTCTATGTCAGGTTGGAGTATACTGCTTCTTGGTAAATGTCACTCCTTCCTTTGTTCTCCCCCACTTTCCCCTTCTACCCAGCCTCAAGTTAGGTAGTTAATTTTTCACATGCTGTACATTGAATATGACAGTTTGCTCATTCTTCCTCCAGGACATCCATGTGCCCCTCCCTTTTTTCCACCCCCCCAAAAAAAACCATTTTTCTACTTTTTGGTATTTATTTTGATAAACAATACTTTAGTTGTTCAGGTGTTATGCCTTTGTATTCTTCCTCTAGGTGTAACAACCTTTAGTCTGTGTGTAAATACACTGAGCCCTGTATATGTTATGATGCATAGTTGTATTTTAGATCTAACTTCCACATATGGGCGCAAATATGCAATGTTTGTGTCTCTGAGCCTGGCTTACCTCACTTAACATGATTTGTTCGAGGTCAATCCATTTCCCTGCAAATGATATAATATTATTCTTTCTAATAGATGAGTAAAATTCCATTGTATACATGTACCACATTTTCTTGATTCACTCATCTGTTGTAGGGGATCTGGGCTCTTTTCATAGCTTGGTTATTGTGAACAGTGCAGCAATGAACATGGATATGCAAACATCTATATGACATCCTGGCTTGTAATGCTCTGGGTAGATGCTCAAGAGTGGTATTGCTGGATCACTGGGTAGTTCAGTTTTTTGGTGCATTCCCAATCAACTTTGAAGTTGTTGTTTTAGTTTACTCCCACAAACAGTGTAACAGGGTTCATTTTTCCCCACATCCTTATCAGCATTTGTTATTTTTGCGTTTTCTGTGCTGGCCACTCTTACTGGGGTAGGATGGAATATCAATGCTGTTTTGATTTGCATTTCCTTTATGGCCAGTGATGTCGAGCACTTCCTCATGTGCTTATTGAACATTCTTATTTTTCTGAGAAATCTCTATTTAGCTCTTTTACCCATTTATTAATTAGGCTACTAATTTTGAGGGGGTTTAGTTTCTTGTGCTCCCTGTATCTTTTGGATGTTAGGATCTTGTTGGACATTAACTGGGAAAGTTTTTCCCCGTTGTCCTTTGCTGTGCAGAAATTTTTTAATTTGATATGATCCCATTTGTCAAGTCTTTTTCCAATTTGCTGTGTTCCTGAGACTTTCTTCAGAAAGTTCCTGTCTATGCAATAAGTTCTAATGTTCAGTAGGTTAGTTAAAAAATATTTAAAAATATTCAAGTTCAAAATTAATATTTAAAATATTAAAACTGAAACATGAGTTTCAAATAAGAATTTGGCAATAACATTTCCAGTATAAAAAATCTTACTTTGTGTTGGGTGCTAGTGGCTCACTCCTATAATCTAGCGATTCAAAAGACTGAGTTCTGAGAGTCACCCAGTCCAAGCAGCAAAATTCATGGCACTCTTATCTCCAATTAACAACCAAAAAGCCAAAGTGGCTCAAGTAGTAGAGCGCCAGCCTTGAGGGAAAAAAATCTAAGGGACAATGCTTGGGCCCTGAGTTCAAGGACTAGTATCAGCACAAAAACAATAAAATCTTACTTTGTGATGCACTCCCGAGACTCACTCTCACTTTTGAGTTTATGATAAATCACAGCTCCCACAGCAAGGGGACCAGCATCTCCACATAGGAAAGTGACTCTTCGACCATTCAGATTCCGAAGTGTCCTCTTTACATAATCCAGAGATCGGAGTAGGTAGGTCTGGTCACAAGTGACCCGGTATAGCTGCAGGTACAAAAGGGCTATGCCTGGAATAGAAAAGCATTACTACTGAAAAATCTTCAGGATATTATTTTGTAATCACAAGAAATTCCCTTTTTTATATGAACACTCACTTTCTGAGGGGCAACATCAAAAAGTACATATATATATATATATCTTAGAAATGAAAAAAAGAGGTCAGAAAGATAGGAAAAAACAAAAATCAGTGCTTTGCTAATTGACCTGGCACAGTGATTCAACGCCTTATTCTTAGACAAGAGAAAACATATCAAGGACCTAATCATTCTAATTAATTTTCACTCATTTTAAGTTTGTATTTGATTTCCTTTGTATCTCAAGCTAAATGGATTTTTTGCTTTAGTTCCCAGAAAACAAATCATCTTTCATTTTATCCAAATTTAAGTAGTTACTTCTCTTGATTTTATACTTTCTACATTTTCTATTTTCACTCCCCCCACCCCCAATTTTGTTTAGTGACCAAGCCATTCAGTTGATCAACTAACCAGTAAGGCAGATCACTCATTATGGAACACCTACCATATGCAGAAGACAGTTACCAGTACAGTGGGTATAGTTATCATCTACCCAACCCTCCATTTCAGATTAAAGAATAGAACCAGATCTTTAGATGAACTACAGAAGAGGTCTTCATCTAAAAATATTTGGAGAATGACCTGCATGGTTCTTAAAGAAATACAGTCTACACTGGATGCTGGAGGGTCCTGCCTGTAATCTTAGCTATTCAGGAGGCTCTGCCTGAGCAGGAAAGTGATAAGACGCTTATCTCCAATTAACAACCCAAAACCAGAAGTGGAGCTCTTCTGTTTGAACTCCATGAGTATGTGTGTTCTAATTTTCAAAAAATAAAATTTGGATAACTTATGTAAACATACAGAAAAACAAGAGTTAAAAGCTAAAGACTTATGAATTCAAAACATAATAGTCATTGAAAAAAACATACGAATAAGTACTCCTTGACTAACTGAGAAACTTCTCAAAACAGGATGCTAACTGGTAAACCTGAGGAACCCAACAGCCTATCATCATATGCAAGTATTTGAAAGTAAAAAGAGGACAAGTAAAATGGTCATTATGTTTTATAATTTTGTTGTTGTTCAAAAGCAGACTAGATAAGATGAACTTTGGCAACCAGGCATAGAAGTAAGGCATAAAGAGATGAATGAGCTAACAGTCCTGATTAGGTTTCAGTCTCTGGTCAGTCTGTGCCCTAGACTGTGAATGTCACTGTCCCCTGTCTGCTCCCCCACCCCCCTTTTCTCCTCCTTCTGCAAAAGGTGTAAGGATATCCTCCAAAACTCAGTGCAATGACTTGGTAGAGCTCCTGGGAGAACAAAAGTGGAAGGCCCTTATGACTAGATATCCCTGGAATTCTTATCTCTCAGATTTGTCCACAGTTAGCATCCAAGAATTTGTCAGGTTTTCCTGTTGTCAAATGAAAATTAAGGAAGGTCACTGTTTCGGATTGAGCTTCTGCATGAGGCCCCAGGAGAGCAAACCAAACCAATGTGGAGTCATTTATGCAGAGGCAGGACAGACGAGGTACATAGAACACAAGAAATAGAAATCAGAATTCAAAAGTAAGCATTATATTGATGTTGAAGCTGACTAGAAACACACAGCACTGGTTTCTTTTCTTTCTACTTCAGACTACTTCCCTAAGTAGTGTAACAAAGACCTCCCCTATCCAACTCTGGTCTTATTTCACCTACGGATGAAATAAGCATACCTTCAAGAAAATATCCCAGTTTGTTCCCTCCTTCTTTGGAAAAGTGGTCATTAAAAGTCACAAGAAGCAGAAGTCTAAGGATCCAGAATTAACTAGCTCACACTGAAGGTCTCCAGGCCAAGCTGATAATAATGGAACACTGCATAAAGATTGAGATATACTAGGTGCCTAGGTCAAAGGAGATCATTTTTCTTAAGGATGGTAGAAGTGAGGGGATTCCCTCCCCCTCACTTTTCCAGGTCATTTGAGTTCTTCCTTTCCTATGCTTTGCCTATGAGGCATTATCTGTTCTTTTCTCTACTTGCTGTTAAGTCTCTTGCCCTGCATTTCTGCTGAAACCTCTTTTTTTTCTGCAGAAAATTTAAGGGATGAATAGAAGACTCCCTTTTCCTTCTTTCAGGGAACCTTAAGACCCTCACCAATCATTAGTGTCAATGGTAAATATTACATAATCCAAAACTTTAAGGAAGCAGAGAGAGCTATTATTCCTGGAAATAGGAGATGCCAACCTACCTTAGCCTACTAAGCAAAGTCCTCTAAAAACCCCTCCAAAACTTCAATTAACTTGGTGTTAACCAAACAGCTTTTGTCCTATTGTTCTGTTTTCTTTCTCCCAACTTCAGAAAGCCCACGGTAGTGCCATTGCCAACTGGGATTTGGAGCTGTAGAATGGAATTTCCTTGGCTTATGAATCTATGATCCATAGATCAAAGCAACTTGATCTATGGAATGTCTTGTCTTTTGGCACTACTCTAAATACTGGTTCCTGGTTGTTGGGGCAAAGTATTTTGCATTTTGTGGCTACCCTTCTCTGATGATCTAAGGGAGTTGATTTTTCAATTTGTTCAGTTTTTTTATGATACAATGATGACTTCTAAACTTCTTATGTTCATGTTAAAGAGTTTGTCCCAATCCTCTGAAAATAACTCCTAGCCTATTACTGTGGGAAGGTAGGATGAACTCTGCCACTCCTGGATGCTTTAACTTTGTTTATCTGCTATACTACTGTGGCTTTCCTTTACTCTTCACTCTTGTGTGTCATAGTTTTGCTGAAGGAATAAACTGTGGATGCTGTATTCATTGCTCTTATTTGTATAAGGAGAAAAGATGGAAAGGCAGTGACTTGAGCTAAATCCATACTTCTTTCTGAATTCCAAAGCCCTACTATTATTTTGTTGTTGTTTTGGAGGGAGGAGACATCCTAGGGCTTGAACTCAGGGACTGGGTACTGTCACTGAGCCTTTTTGCTCAAGGCTAGCACTCTACACTTGAGCTACAGCTCCACTTCTGGCTTTTTTGGAGCTTAGTTGGAGATCAGGGTTTCACAGAGTTTCCTGCCCAGGCTGGCTTTGAACCATGATCCTTAGATCTCAGCCTCCTAAGCAGCGAGGATTCAGGCGTGAACCACAAGTATCTGGCCTCAAAGCCCTACTATCTTAAACCATTAAAACTAAATCCTTCATGATGATTCTACCATGATTCCAGAAGATGAGGATTTTTAAGAAAGTTCATGACCAGAGCTTCTAGTGACATCATTCTCGTAGTTTATTATAAAGCTCTCTCAATGACTTAGATTGATTCTTAACAGTCAGGGAATTAAAAACTCTTTTCAACAGAGGAAATGCCATAAGTGAAAGACTTTTTAGAGAAATCTGTGCTACTAATAGCTATATAATTTTTTCCTCCCTAAATATATTTTCCTCCCAAATATATTCTTTGAGTTTACTTCTGGTTAACCAAAAATGACTAATTTTACATTCAGGATAAATTTCTTTGGCTTTGTAAATGAACTGGGTTCAAGTGTGTCTGGATTTAGAAATCTGAAACAATTAATTCTAATATTACTATGTAACTGCTATATTCATAAAAGGCAAATAAATTAAATACCACTGAAATGAACATAATTACTAGAAATAGAAACAGAATTTAAAATTATTAGGACTATTATGTTTGGCTATATATCACTAAACTAGGTGTCAATTCATGGTGGCTCTAACATATTTTAACTCTTTTAGCTATTTATTAATTTGGTAAGAATAGGTTCTAAAATTATATGTAAATCATCTTTAGCAATTTAATCAGACTTTAGTCAAATCCCTGAGAACAAGATCTCTTTTTTCTTTTTAAATAAAATAAGCCAAATGGTTATTACAATGTTCTATCTATCTGTTACAACAGTATAAACATAAAAATTAAAGCAACTGAATTTTTAAATGAAGAAATTTTTGCTGTTATTGTGAAGTGTACTACTAATAACTTATTTTGCTGTTATAACTAAAATGAAAGTTAAAAACATTTTTGTATAAATGATACAAACAATACAATAAATAGGGAAAAAGATTGAGAGACACCAGAGAAACCATTCAAAGTTGTTGCAAATGCTTAAGCAACAACAGAAAAAGAAGAAAAAAACACAACCAATATAAAACTTGATCTTAAGGTAAATTTGTTCTTAATACACATTTTCACATCTATATGTTAGATTATGTAAATGTTATGAAAATATGACACATTTCCTATTAAAGACCAGAAAACATTTTCTAAAGAAATAAAACCCCAAAGCATCTCATCAATGAAGATATAGTTCAAGATTTCATTTCAAGTATATAATTCATTACCATTTTCGAAGAAAAGAAAATTTCAAAGTCAAGTGAAAAGAAAATTTCAAGGCCAATTGTTACATCTCAGAATCCACAAATAAAGCACATCAGCTACTCATATTCCACACTCTTACCTGTCCAGCCAGTGTAAGCAGAGCAATCATGAGGGTCAGCTGTCTTGAGTCCTTCTTCCATTTGCTGTAGAAGATCTTTGATTTTGGTCTGGATCCTCCTTACGAAGCTATGAATAAGCTAAGAACCCAAAAAAGAGAGATTTATTATGTTTGTACATGAATAGGACAATGTTGTAATAAAAATTACACAACTTATATCTTATTAGGCCAATTTCAATGCCTCTTTGGCTAGAGTCTACCCTGGTTTTTTTTATAAGGCTAATATACAACAAGTATAGCCTGTATGGATTACTCATAAGTAGTATCACAAAAAATAATTTATAGAAACCAAAGAAAAAAGTAGAAAGGAAAAATAATCAGATGATTTGACTACAAACACATTTTAGGTTCTGTATGGTAAAGAAAGAAAATGGTTTTAAAAATTAATGACAAAGAAGAAACAATTGCAATATAAATATCATAAATAAAAAGGATAGAGCAGTCAGTGTCAATGGATCATGCCTGTAATCCTAGCTACTCAGGAGGCTGAGATCTGAGGGCTGCAGTTTGAAGCCAGACTAGGGTGAGAATCTTATCTTCAATTAACTGTCAGAAAGCTGAAAGTAGAGGTACAGCTCACATGGTTGAGCACCAACCTTGAGCAAAAAAGCTAAGGGACAGTACCCAGGACCTACTTCAAGCCCTAGTACTGGTACATGTACATGCATGCACACACACACACACACACACACACACACACACACTCACACACACACAAAGATACAGACACATACTATATATATACTGTATATGTGTGTATGTATATATATATATAATAGGAATAAATCCTAAATTATATAAGAAAATCAAATGTACAAAAATATTAAATTATTTGATGACTAATGAAATACAAATAAGTACCATAGTTTACCTATCAGATTAATAAAAAGGAAAATTTTGCAAAAACTAAGTCCCAGAGTTCCTAAATGCCTAAAAGCCTTATTCACTACTGTAATTTTTTTTTAAAGAGACATGTATAACATTTTAAACTATTCAGTTGATAGTGTTAGGATCCTTTCCACCTTCATTGATTTTTAAAAGCCTACTGTTTACATCAAATGCTTAGGGTCTTAAAATCTGCTATAGAAGCCAGGTACCATAATCCTAGCTACTCAGGAAGCTGATATCTGAAATTTAAGAATGTGGTTCAAAGCCAGCCCAGGCAGGAAAAGTCCAAGAGACTATTATATCCAGTTAACCACAAAAAGCCAGAAGTGGAACTGTAGCTCAAGTGGTAGAACACTAGCCTTGAGCAAAAGAGTTCAGTGCCAGTGCCCAGGCCCCATGTGCAAACCCCAGTACACACACACACACACACACACACACACAATTTGCAGCAGTTGTGGAATTGTTTGATTTTACTTTTGCCTTATTTTTATTTTTTTGTGCATGGTGAAGCTGTTATTAGGCACTCATAAATTTATGACTTAAAATTTCCTTGACAAATTGACCCATACTCATAATCAGATGTATTCCCTGTGAGGCTGTAAAGAAAAATGTCTGTGTTTCCGTGTAATTAGGGCTTTCAGGGAAATATTTATTCAAATTTGGAATTCTGGAATGAAATTAAGAATTAATTGAATACTGACTATACAGTGAGAATTTCAGAAGTTTACTTTACTCTGGTGGTATATGCTACACATTTCCAAAGAAGGTAGGAAAAACTAGACACCTCTAACTCGTAACATTGCATGCAGCAGACTTGTCTTTTGCACACAGACATTCCAAAGGGTTAGGAGTTAGGCAATTTCCACTGAAATTCTCTCAGAGGAGGATAGGGAGAAAATTGCCTTTAGTTTCTATCTAAGTGTTTACTGTTTATCCTTGCTCTTTCATGCTTGGAACCAACTTCGGGAGCTAACCTCTGCTAGATTCAAACTTTTCTTCTGCAGCTTCCTCACTTCTCTTAGGCTTCATGGAATTGAAGAAACTCAGGGCCTTACTTTGGGTTAAGTTTTGGCTTAGGAAAACATTTGTACTCATCTGATCTTTTATCCAGACCACTAAAACTTTCTTCATACCAGCTTTAACATTCATGTGTTCACTAGAGTAGCACTTATAACTTCCTTCAAGAATATTTCATAGGTATATATTTAAATTTAAATTCCTAGTCAATCATAACCTTCTTCTGTAGGGTTGGGGACCCTGTGGCCTGAGCATAAAGACCCATAAAATCATTTGGTATATAACAGACAAACATATGCTTCTCATTGGCTATTGACTACACATCTGTCTATATTGATAATTTTGTATTGCTTGCAATTAGTGATTTTTATAAATGATCCTTGGCATAAGAAATGTTCCCCACTCCTGTACAGGAAAAGTGAGCTAGAAATTGAAGGCTAATGGCAAGTTTTTGAACATCATTAAATTGGGCTGTAGGCATTGGTCAACAAATATCTTTATAAAGATGCTTACTTATGAAATAATAAAGACACTACACAAATAAATGTAGTAAAATTGAATATAGTCCATGACATATCACTATTCTCTAGGATAATGCTAACCAAATAATAGATTTCACTTTATCAATTTTTGATGACTTGAAATACTTCCTACAGTTTTGATATGAGTATGAATGTATTTTGCTTTGATAATAAATATAGCAGCAAGAATGACTGTCTGATTCCCCATTCAATCACTTAATAACTTTTTATGCCAAGTTAATCAACTTAAGTCTCCTGAGTCTTGTCCTTTGGATCCTATTATAATCAAAGAGATGCAGAATAATCTTTGAAAAGAAAGTCCTTTGAATAAGTCTTGAAAAGAATAAAAATTGAAGTACAACTTAATAGAGCCCACAAGGTAGTACCTGGCTCACATCTATTCACTGTAACTGTTAAAAAAATCAGAATTATGTTTATATTCAGAACAATGATTGCACTTATGCCCCAGAATAGTCATTTTCTTTGCTACACTCCCTTATGAGAAAGGGCAGTCATGTGAAACTTCTCACCAATTATACCAAAGTGTATGTCTTCCAGAAGAACCTGGAAGATTCTTGTTTTTCTTGATCAAAACAAAAAACACAGGACTCACTTTCTTGGTTTTTCTCCCCTCCCCCTGCTGAAAACTTGGGCATGACATCTGTTGCTACAGCTGCCATCTTGTACTATAAATACAAGAACAGATATGACAGAAAGACCAAAACAACTGCATAAACACTAGGATTTCAGCTAATCAATACCAAAAATTGTTTTACTTCTAAACTGTTTGGTACATGAGGAAAAATAATCTAATTAAGACATTGCTAAACTGCCAACTTCTTTTTATCTCCCATGGTGCTATGGTTTGAATTTCAGACCTTGAGCTTACTAGCTTGGCACTCTGCCATTTGAACCATGCCCCAGCCATACTTTTTGATGATTATTTTAAGATGGAGTCTAGTGGATTTTCTGGCCAGGTTGGCCTTAAACTACCATCCTCTGGACCTTAGAGAAGGATTACAGGCATGTGTCACTGGCCCTTGGCTCAAGGGTTCTGTGTCTTATAGTGAATATAAACCTAACTCACATTCATATGAAGTCAGCTCTCATACTATTTCAAAGCATATGCTGTAAAACCTGAATTCCTCACAAATGCTATAAGAGAGAGTGTGTATATATATGTATATATATATATATATAAATTTATTTTTAATTTTTTTTTGCAGAGCTGAGAACTGAATTCAGAGCCTGGCAAGTGTTCTTCCACTCAGCTATATCCCCAGTATATATATTTTTAAGGCATATTTTACTCTAGTTCCCTTTAATATATGGCAAAATGTCATTGCAAACCTTTATCCTTTGCTCTAAAATACAATTTCTAATCCTTTTTCCCCTAAATATCTTTATCTTACTATATAAATGAGATTTATAATTTGTTTATATTGGAGCTGAAGTTTCTAAACAGAGGAAGTTGCCAATGCTAATCAATTCTGTAACTATTTGCATTTGATGGAGATTATTGTACCAAGAGAAATTGTAACTGGTTCATCTAATTAAGTAATGGTATTATTATAAAAATAAGTATTCAGCACTCAGGTGCTCAGCAGTAAGAGTTTTACATGATATTTCCATCAGTCTTCTCATTACCCACTAATTCTCAGTTTTTTAGGTAAGAAAGTGATCTTACTTGAGGATACATTACAAAAGAAGACAGAGCTCGGGGTTGGGAAGGTGGCTCAGTGGTACAGTGCTTGCCTTGCATGCATGAGGCCCTGGGTGCTGAAGAGCTGAGGGACAGCGCCCAGGCCCAGAGTTCAGGCCCCATGACGGGACCCTCCCCCCCCCAAAAAAAATACAAAGCTCTTGTAGTCCTACTTTTATTTTATATTTGAATTTATCTTTAGAATTTGAGACTTGCACCTTTACTCACTCAAACTATACGAATATGAGTATACATGCTACATATAATGCATACTTTTGGAGTTATTATCTCTTAAGATTTTATTTTTCTACATGGTAGACTACATCTAATATTCCAAATGATGCATATTTCACTCATACTTATGACAAGATTTTATTTCTCCTCCTGACAGTGTTTCTTCATGGCAATAAATCTTAGAATTCATATGGAAGCTGGGTGCCTGTGGCTCATGCCTGTAATCCTACCTACTACTCAGGGGGCTGAGATCTGAGGATCATGGTTTAAAGCCATCTGGGTAGGAAAGACAGTGGGACTCTTATCTCCCAAGTAACCACCAGAAAACTGAAAGTGGAGCTGTGGCTCAAAGTGGTAGAGTACTAGCCTTGAGCACAAAAACCGGGGGATAGTACCTGAGCCCTGAGATTCAGCCCCAGGACTGGCACGCACGCACACATGCACGCGCGCATGCACATACACACACACACACACACACACACACACACACACACAATCAGATGGAAGAGATTCTTTGGTAAGAAGATGAGAAAAAAAGCAGGGGCAGGGGAGTGAGCCAAACAGACAAAAGAGAAAAGGACAGGTACAAAGACAATGGGTGATAAGTGTACAAATTACCCCAGTGTATTCTTGACAAAATGCCTTGGGAAATTAAGTTCATCCTTAGCCAATACATATTTTCCATGGATTTCACAAGAATAATTAAATAGAGTATTTCCAAATTGGTCATTTCCTCGTGTAGCTATACAGAAAGAATGCTGAAACCATCCCCCTCTCCAAGTCACATGAAAGAGACATTACTTGAGTCCCATCTCCTCCCTAGTACCCCCACCCCCCATGGCTACTCCTTATGGCTAATTATTAATCAGTTTGAGGTATGGACTTCTCTCTAGGGTAGAAAACCTTAGAGCCAGTTCTAACCAAATTGAGCCTGACTTTTGTACAACAAATGTCTACTTAAGGCTTCATGCATATAGGTTGAATCTTATGCATATATTTAAAACTATGGGATCAGATCCTTTCCAAAAATCTGTCAAGTCATTTGTCAAGTCATCTGTCCCTCACTTCCCTACGAACAGCCCACTACCATTACTATTAACTTCTCCCATACCTACTGGACCCTAGAAAGCTGAAATTTTCTTAATCATGCATACTCTTGAGCTACTTAGCTCAAGCCAGCCATTTCCCTTAACTGTGTAGTTTCTCTCTATTAAAGTCAACATGTCCATGCCATTTAGTTCATTTTGGTTTATTTAGTTTGGTTTCTTGCAGTGTTGAGGGGACTAACCTTAAACCAGAATCCTCCTACCTCCACTCTCCAGTATTACAAGAATTATAAGCCTGCATCATCAGACCAGCTTTTTTTTAAAAAAAAAAAAAGTTCTCATTTTACCTCTATTAGTGTGATTTTCCAAGATCTGCTTTCCAAGTAGCTGGGATTGCAAGAATGATCCACTACACCTAGCATTGTAGTTATTCTATTTATTTATTTACTATGGGCTATGTATGTATTCCTGTATGTATGTACCTATGTATTTAGGATAGGGTCTCACTATGTTGCCCAGGCTATCCCTAAACTCCTGAGCTCAAGTGATCCTCCTGCCTCAGCCTATTAGATAAATTATCTGCATGGGGGGGATGTTCATTAATGAGGAAAAAATTGCATTTCTTTGAGCAGTTGAAAAGCACTGATTTCTTTATATTTGCATACTATATTAAGATGTTAAATAAATTTAGAAATTAAAGAGCATCCACTCTTAAACAAAGATATAGAAAATTAAATAATTTCAAGGTAAGTTGAGCCAGTCTTGAATGAAAAAGTTAAGGGACAGTGCCCAATTCCCAAGTTCAAGCCCCAGTTACCACCACCACCACCACCACCACAGCATCCCCTCCACGCTCCCCCCCCATACTTATAAGACATTTCCAATAACTTAAGATTATGCTGAATTGTAAATCTCAAGTAGAAGTTTGTCTGATATCATTTTTCTATGGAAAAAGTCCAGGAGAGAAAAACTAGGAGAGAGTAAAGGAAGGAAGAGGTGACATTGTCCAAGAGGAAATGTACTTATTACCCAATTTAGGACACAGTAACCCCTCCATACATGACCTTTATAATAACAACAACACAGAAAAAAAAGATTTAGTTTGGAAAAGTTTGAAAATCCTTCAGATCTATTAAGTCCTTCAGAATTGGTTTTATGTACCATTTTGTTCTCAATCCTGTGCTATTCACAATCCATGTTCTCTAGCCAGGCTCATTTCTTGGCAGTCTTCTGATATGGTGTGAAATCTCTGAAGTCTTTGCCTATGCAGCTCTCTACCTCCACCTGGCGACGCACCACATATGCTTCAAGGGCAACAGAAATGCCATCTTTACCTGAAAAGCCTTCCCTGGTGCCAATGGGCAAGATTCTCTCTCCTCCCTTGTACTTTCATGATATATTTACATAATCTCACTTACTGTAACACTTTTTGCACATTTTTGGTGGGTACACTTCCAGCAAGTTCCACTGGCACAGTATCACAATCCTTTCTCTACTAGCCAATGGGCTATAGTCATGCCTTCTTCAGCCTTATGATCTCAGCCTTGGTTCAGGTTCTGAATGTCCTAGATTGACATTCTGTATACCCCTTCTGTTGACTGATAGTATATTACTTTTGAAGTTGAAAGCAGATTCTCCTAATTCCACTTGAGATTTTAAAATGGCTGCAGCTTTTTGATAAGTCAGCTGACCTATAATATGAAAGTCTGTATACCCAACCCTCAGGTGTTATGGAAGAAATAAGTGTTCACAGAGTCACTGAGCTTGGGGGAAAATTACTACATGGTACAAGGTAAGTAGTAAGAGGAATCTGTTTCCTGGGTGTCCTCTCAGCATAGGGCTACACTTCTACCCTGTATTAGCATATTCTCAAAAGTTCTCTTTACAACTGAGGCAGTCTCTCATTGCTCCAGTCTCATTCTGATTATTAAAATTTCTTTGTACTAACTCTACCTATTAAATTCTGTGGGATTTCTATCCCAATTGGACCTTAATATACACTAAATAAGGCTGATACAGTACAAAGAAGAATTTGAGGAACTACTACTTGGGCCAGCCATGATGGTTCACATCTGTAATCCCAGCTACTGCGGAGGTAGAGATTGGTAGGACGGTAGTTCAAGCTTAGTACAGAAAAAAGGTTAATAGGAGTCCACTTCAACAAATAAGCCAGGGATTAGAAAGCATGCTTTTAATCCCAGCTACATTGAAGTTGTAGGTAGGAGGATTGTAATCCAAGATGGGCCCAGGAAAAACCAAAACCCTATCTTAAAAAAAAATAACCTAAAAGACCTGACTGAATCAGCAGAGTGCTTACCTTGTAAATCCAGGCCCTGAATTCAAGCTCAAGTACCACCAAAAAAAAATGTATTGGCTTAATCATGATCTACCTCTAGGAGCAGGGTTAAATTCCCCTGAAGCCTATGGCTATGACAATTTCAAGTAAAGCAAAGAAAGGAAATGACTTTTTTTTTGTGGGTCATAGGGCTTGAATTTAGGGGAAAAAGCTATTACTTTGAGCCAGAGCTCCATTTCCAGGTTTCTGGAGGCTAACTGGGGATAAGAGTTTCACAGCCTTTTCTGCTTGGGTTGGCTTTGAACTGTAATCCTCTGATCTCAGCCTCCTGAGTAGCTAGGATTACAGTTATGAGCCACCACGTTGGCTAGAAAATGACTTTTAAGATAACTATTAATAGTATTTGCCACACAGAGCTTCTAGAATTAAAGAAACATTTATTAAACTGATTAGCTGCTTTTCATAACAGTTGGAGCCAGGTTGCAAAAAAAAATACTACAAAAAGCCTACTTACGGAAATACATGAGAAGAATCAGACTATTCATTATAGTCAAAAGATGGAAAAAATACACACATACATACAATGGAGTGTTATTCATCCCTAAAGAAGAGTGCATTGTTTGCAAGAAAATAGATAAAAATGGAAATCATGTTAAGTGAAATAAACCAGACTGAGAAAGACACATACTGAATGTTCTGGTAATAAAAATCTAGAACTAAAAAAAAGGGGGGGGAAATCCTTGACAATATAGGCATAAGTAACACTTTTCTAAATAGGATTCCAAGTGCTAAAGAAATAAGAGTAAGCAATGACGAGGATGAACGTATCAAATCGAAAAGCTTCTGAACAGCAAAAGAATGACCCGAATGGAGTCAAACCCGCACAACCCACTGAATGTGAGAAGAGGAAGGACTGTTTAGGGATGAGATCAAGAGGGGCGGAGGGGAAAGGGAAGGGAGTCACGGAGCCCCAGGGGGTGGTGGGGGGCGACGGGACAGGCATGACGCACACTCTCCGGAAAAATGCAGAGAGAGAACAGGTGGTCTTTGTGTGAGTCCTGCGGTTCTAGAGGCGGGGATGTGCCCGCAGGTTTCGGCTGGTAATAAAGTCCGCCTGTCTCACTGCCGCTACTGAGGTCCAGACACAAAGCGTGTTTCAAAGCGTGGTGCGCCCAGACAGCTTCTACCAGCGCTACCGAGACAACAAGGTCAGGGGCTTTGCAGGCCGTCTCCTTGACAACCGACCAGCCCAGGGCCCAGGACCCGGCGCGCCAGCCTCCGACAAGACGAGGCGTGGCGCGCCCGGGTGACGTCAGCGCGCCGCCGGGCGGAGCGGGTGGACGCTACCATTTGTTCCCCCCCCCCCCACCATCTGGCGGGGCCGGGCCCAGACGGCCGACTCACCTTCCCGTCCTGGTGGAAAGGAAGGCCGCTTTCATCCGTAGGGGGCGCGAGGCGGGCGCAGCCGGTCTCTTCCACCGCTCCGGTGAGGAACCCGGAGGCGGCGGCGGCGGCCTCGTAGTCCGGGAAGGGATTGGGGAACGCTCGCTCCTCCATCTCTGCCTCCCCTCCCAAGTGCAGTTTCAGCCTCTTGGACATGGTCTCGCCCATGTCCGCCGCGCGCGCTCTCCCGGCGCCGGGCGGGACGGCGCTCGAGCCGGGACAAACCTCCCGCGAGGCGTTTCCGCGGGAGCGACGCCCCGCGCGGCCCGGCTGGCGCGCGCCCACCGCCCCCCTCTGGGACCCCCGCGGCTTGGGCCAATGGCTTCCTCAGGAGGACCGCAGCGGCGAGCCGACGGGGCGGGTGGGGCCTCGACGCTGGCTGCAGCTGGGCGACCCGACCAGCCTCCCCAGGGGTGGCCGACACATCTGGCCGCAGCTGGTGGCACTGCACGTGGTGCCTCGGCCGGGCAGTCCCGCCGGGAGGAGCGGGACCTCCAGTCCTCCGCCGCCGCTTACGGTCCGCGCGCCCCCAGCCGCCTCTTCCTCCCCGGGCCGCGGCGGGTCTGGCCGCCGGCGAGGTCCGAGGCCGCGGGCGGCCCGCCGATCCCGGTCGCTGCCCGCGCCCCGCAGCACCGCGTCTGGAAAATGCTCCGGGGAGTGCACCTCGCTGCTTAACGACGATTTCCTAAAGAAAACCCAGTGAGGGGTACGTTCCTGCAAGGGAAGAGAAAGATAATCTGTGAAGAGTGGGTTGTCATTCAAGGTGTGTCCGGGGAAGCGCAGCCCCGGACGCTCCACCGTCCATCTGCATTTTCACCGGCCCGCCGCCGCCGCCCAGGTCCTCCGTCCCTGGTGTTGCACCAGTCACTGGGATAACAGCAGTTGTGTTAAATATATTTATATTTTTAAAAATCCTACAGAAAAGAATCTGAAAACCCCCTTTAAACATGCAAAGGATAGTCTCCCGTGGGAAGTGGGGTGGTGGAGATACAGTCCCTCCCATTCATCACCATTGGGTGGGGGGGTGTCTTGGAGGAGGAGCCACAGGCTTCTCTCCCCCCCCCCCCCATTTTGTTTCCAGTCCCATCGATTTGAATACATGGGCATCTAATGGAACAGCGATGATATGACAGTATACATAATCATCTAATTATTTGGTTGACCACAGAAATACCTTCAATATTCATATCACGGGCTGAGGGAATAAAACACACAAGCAACTAGAGCCTTGCATTTATATAATCACAGAAGATAACTTCATAATCTTTACCGGTTCTCTGTTCTTCCTGCTATTTTTTTGTTGTTGTTGTTGTTTTACAGTTACATCGATGATTTATCCTCCTAAAGAGAAATGTCTCAATTCTGCCTTCCAGTGAACAAACACGGGTGCTAGGACAAGAAAATAGACTTAAAATTTCCTAGCCCCTGAGGATTTCCAGCTAATGGGTGAAAACGGCAAAAAAAATAGGTATGCTTTTCTGAAACTCAGCAGGGTACATATAAATACATTGTCAAAAGTAACATGATAGGGAACACAGTATCAAGTATAGAAAGGTCTCAATCACTCTCTCTCTCTCTGACCTGAGTTAGAGAAAGCTATTTCAACCTTGACCTATTGTCCTTGCCACCCCCACAAGGCTGTAGATGTGAAATACACCTGCTTAAGAGCATAGTCATGAGAAGTGTCAGTGTAAGGAGATACTTACTCAGTGTAAGAAAACAGGATGTGACAGGGTACATAATCCTTGGGGGAACCTGCTCTAATAGGCTGTTTTGCTACTTCACTGGGGGGTCCATTTTTCTTTCACCTACAGCAAAGGAAATTTATTTAATGCTTTCGATTTTCCTGCCTTGGCAGTTGAAAATCCAGTTTACTAACTTGTCAACCTGCCTTAGCAGCCATCCTTTTCAAATACTGGATCTTTCTCTAGACAAAATAACAGAACTGTGTGAGACTATGAACTCATAAAGCCAGGAAAAATAACTATCTCTAAGCAACTTCCTGTCTGGGCCAATTTGTAGGGCAGTGTTCCTTCCTAACACTGACTTGGAAGAAAGACACTTCCCCCTTCCCCCCAGAGCAGTATGCTTTAGAGATAGGTTCAGGTTATTCATGTTAGTACCCCCAAGACATAGGAGATATTAAGATTATTCAGATAAGAAACCTAGGATACAACAGCTTTCACAACTGAAAGCAGGTCATCTCTGAGGTCTGAGGATTTCCAGGAAGCCCCCAGTGATAATCTATTTGCATAAAGCTTGTCTTTCCTTCACAAACCTGGGAAAACCAGATACACTTACCTGGCCTAAGAACCAAAACTCAAGTGTTTGTATAATGTTGGATCTGTACTGAATATTTTAAATTTTCATATTGTCCTACTGCCTCAATATCAGCACCAGCAGGCTATGAGCCCCAGAGAAGGCAACTGGGAGCACCAGTAACAAGGCTGGCTCCTGCCACTGTTTTTCTTGTCCTTTCCTGCTTGGGATCTATAGATTCTTCCTTTGACCAAACTTCAGGCAAATGGTAGGACTACCTGATGTGTGCCTTGGTATACTGACACCTACTCTGTTTCTTGGTTACAAATCCCTCCTTGTTGTAATCTCTCACAGTGCAAATCTGATTGCCATGATCCCTTGATTTACGAACAGGATCCAAAGTAAAGCCTGGCTTACTGTGCTTTAGCAAATATCATAGAGGACATTTGCCTTTAACACTAGTGATATTCATCCACACCAGGGAAGCTCCCTTTTGTCTTTCACTTATATCCTACCTGAGGTCCAGTAAAAACACTTCCTCCCAGGTCCTTGTTCTTTTTGCTTCCCACAAAGTTGGGGCTTTCCATGTGGCCATCTTATGGTACGCATTGCTTTGCTGTAGCCTAGAGTGTATTTCGTACTCTTTTTTTTTTGGTGCCTTCTTGTGTTGCCGTATGCCTGGCTATCTCAGGAAAGACTACAAAGCAGGATGTTAGGCCCCAGTTCTACTGGAGCAAGGCCCTAGAAATGAGGAAGTGATCCTATTAGTTCAAAGAATTATTTCACTGGAAACTGAATCCTCTCACATTGAGGGCATATGGGTCTTGACAAGATCTGGTGCTTGGTGGTCATGCCTAGTTGAGTCAATATGGTGCTCTGCAAAGTAAAGCAGTGTTTTGCTAAACTTTTTGGCTTGTGCTTGTAATCCAGCTACTCAGAAGGTGAGATCTGAGGATTGTGTTTTGAAACCGGAACAAGAAAATCTGTGAGTCGCTTTACCACGAAAAAGCCAGAAGTAGTGCTTGCCTCAAGTGGTAAAGTGCCACCCTTGAGCAAAAAAGCTAATGGACAAGCTGGGTGTGATGGTTTACACCTGTAATCCTAGCTACTCAGGAGGCTGAGATCTGAAGATCGTGGTTCAAAGCCAGCCTGGGCAGGAAAGGCCATAAGACTCTTATCTCCAATAAAACACTCAGAAAACTGGAAGTGGTGCTGTGCTAGTGCTAGAGTACTAGCCTTGAGCTGAAGAGCTGAGGGACAGCCTAGGCCCAGAGTTCAAGCCCCACAACCGACAAAAAAAAAAAAAAAAGCTAAGGGACAGTGCCCAGACCCTGAGTTCAAGCCTTAGAACTGGCATTAAAAAGAAAAAAAAAAAGCATTCAAGAAGATTGCTCATGGAGACTCTCATAAATATTTCAAAGGGGAGAAGTTTTCAGGTTGTGAGCCAGTGAAGTTTGAGTTACAACTATTCACGTGTTTCTTTTGAGATCTGCTTTACCTGGTACAGAAAGCAGTGGCAGAAGTAAGGAATTTCTCATTGAAAAAAAATACAGTACTTTTCCGTGAAAAGCACTCAAGAGAACTGCTTTTACCTCTGCTTAGCTAATTACTTCCTTATTCCTTCTCTGTACAAAGAAGTATTCTCTTCTGATACAGGCTAGGCTTCATTTGAGACAGTTCTCTCATTTATGAAAAAATGAGCTGGATAGGTAGTTAACTACCTGATTTCCTATATAGATAGTGATGTGGAAGCAGCAGCAGGATTCTCCTATTTCTGGCATAGCCCTCGCACTATGGTTTGGTTGTGTCCAAAATAACTGCTAAAAGGTTCCTTTGGTCTTTGCTGTTTGGAGAGGTGATAGAACCTTTAAAAAGTGGAGTCTAGAAGGAGGTCATTCAGTCCCTGCAGCATGCCCTGGAAGGGGATATTGGGACCCAAGTCTTTTCCTCTTTCTCCCTTTTATAACCTGGCCATGAGGTATGTACAGTTTTTCCCTGGGCAACCTCTGTGATGTGTTGTCTCACAACAGGCCCAAAAGCCTTGAGTTCAATTAATAATGGGCCAAAGAAACTCTTTCTGTGTATATGCCTATCTCAAGTATCAGTTATAGTAATAGAAAGCTGGCTAATACAACTGACAACAATCTAAGAAGAAATGTCTGTCTCTCGAGTGGTAAATCCTGTTTGCCTAAGTGTCTTCCAGGAGGCCTTGAATCTATTCCTTTAGCGCCTCCAACAACTTTGTCACCTAATTTCTTATACTAAATTCCCAGGTCATTAAAGTACTTCAAGTAAGTTTTTTCTCCTGTATCCATCTCTGGGCGACACAAGCTATAATTTCAAAACTTCAGCTTGGTTTTTATTCTGTTGCTTAAAAATACATAGGAACGAGCCTCATTTCCTTGAACTACACATTTCAGAATGTAGCATGAAAGCAGGGTTTTTTTTTTCACTTTTGCCAGTTTTTCTTCAGTTTTTGTCAGTTTGCCAGATTATGGATATAAATTATGCAGATTATTTTGTACTCATTGAATAATTTTTCTTCCCTACTAAAAAAAACCCTACAAGGTCTCTGAAAATTAATGTTTATTCTTGGTAAACTATACATGTCTGTGTATGCATATTTAAACACATCTTCTATTGGATCATGAGGAATAATGGAAAAAAAATCTTAAAGGACTTTTGACTCAAGTACCAAAGCTCATAGGCTAAAAGCTCCTCCTTGTGAAGCTTTGTACCTTCATAGTTTGATTAAATTGGGCAGATAATGAGGAAATCAGGCAATGTGGTTATTTCAAATACATGCTAGAGTAATAACATTCCTAGGGTAGATAATTAGTCTAGACTCCTCTAAATGGAAAGTCTCATAGATGTAGGTAGGTCATTTAGAAAGAGGATCTAGTAAGTAGATGTAAGTAGTAGACTAGGGCATTGGTCCATGGGTTCCTGTCTTCTGTGGACTAA